GAGAGGCGCAGTAGGCCAGAGACCTAGTTGTCTCTAGGTCTACCTCTGGGTCTAAAGAAAGGAGCCCAGCCAGGCTAGGATATGGCTGGCAGAGCCTAGAGGCCCCCAACCTGCTGGCACAATTGTTCAGAGTCCCCCAAGAGCCCTTCTCAGAGGGGTCAGCTGCTCTTTTCACCAGAGTTGTTTCAAGCCAAGATCCCGGTTACTCTTAAGAATGCCTGTAAGTGGACTGCTGGCCAAGGTGGCGCCAGGCAGCCCAGGCCTCAACAGCCCCATGACCTTCTCCTGACCTCTGTACAGAGACATGTAAGGCAAAAGCCACTGGGCAATATGATGTGGAAACCCACCAGAGGCACCCAGAACCCGTTTCTGTGACATCACTGACATTTAAATAGACTGAAGCACCGAACAGTTGCCCATCAGACAAACATATCTTACATTAAGGCTCCAACAATTAGCTGAACAAGTGTCAAATGGAAGAGATCCTAATTAATCAGATCATTGAGACCTCAGAATACCAGTGCACCATGAGTCAATTGGCTGCTTGTATGAAATTGTTGCTGAAACAAAAACAGAACACAAATGCAATCTGAAGATTGCATTTATAGAACTACAGGGTTTGAAATAAAGGAGACAAAAGTGAATCAAGCCACTTTGGGTATTTTTTTTGGGGGGGGATAGAGGTTTTTGCTACAGGGCGCATGCGCTCACTAGACAGACAGAGAGAGACATAGAGACAGAAAGCAAAAAATCACTCCCCAGGGGGGATGGACACACCACAATCCCTTCTCCTCCTTTCTCCTCTCGGGATCCTGGGCACACACGCACACGTGCCTGGTGTGAGTTTCAAGCCACCGGATCCAGGACGTGAACCGCGGTCGCCTACATGGGGTTCAGCGACACAGCCATTACACTAATTGCTGCTCCCACCACTTTGGGCAATTTTGTGTTTTGTTCTAGGTAGCACAATTTTTAAACCATATTCACAAAACAGTATGAGAG